TTACCGGTCGATCTACGTCCCTACCCTCACCTATGGCCACGAGCTGTGGGTAGTGACCGAAAGAACGAGATCGCGGATACAAGCGGCAGAAATGAGCTTCCTCCGAAGGGTGGCTGGCCTCTCCCTTAGAGATAGGGTGAGAAGTTCGGCCATCCGGGAGGGGCTCAGAGTAGAGCAGCTGCTGCTCCACATCGAAAGGAGCCAGCTGAGGTGGTTCAGGCATCTGACAAGGATGCCTCCTGGGCGCCTCCTGGGGTTGGTTTTCGGGCATGTCCCACCGGGAGGAGGACTCGGGGCAGACCCAGGACACGCTGGAGAGATTATATCTCTCGGCTGGCCTGGGAACGCCTTGGTGTTCCCCCGGATAAGCTGGAGGAGGTGGCTGGGGAGAGGGAGGTCTGGGCCTCTTTGCTTAGGCTGCTGCCCCCGCCACTCGGCCTCGGATAAAGCGGATGAAGATGGATGGATATTGATTCTTAGCTCTTATCTCATCAGGTCCAGTCCAAAAAGGCTCGGCAGTGCCTGTACCACCTCCGACAACTGAGGAAGTTCAGGATCTCTCCAGTGATCCTCAGGACTTTCTATGCAAGTGCTGTGGAGAGCATCCTCACACAGAGCATCGCATCCTGGTTTGGGAACCAAAAAGCTCTTCAGAGAGTGACCCGTACGGCACACTGCTGCAGGACTGCTCTCCCCTCCCTTCAGGACACCTACACCAGGAGATGCTGAACTACAGCAGCTCAGCTATTGAAGGACCCGTCCCATCCCGGCAACAGGCAGAAGGTTCTGCGCCATCCGGAGGAGCTTCTATCCTCAAGCCATCCAGGTCCTAAACCAGAACATGCCCCCCACCCCCCCTCAGCATCCATAAGTGACTGAGACAGCACTTACTCCTCTAACACACCCCAGCCTGACTCTTCTAGACACTTTAACACCCACTTGCACAATGTACATTTTTCAGATTTTCAAATGTAAATTTCCAGATTTTTTAAAATTATTTATTTAATTCATTTAATGTACATAATTCATTTACTTACTGCACATAATGTCCTCCTGTATATATTCACTAAATGTATATAATGTCCTTCTCTCCTTTTGCACAGTCGAGGAGCGCGTCAGGATCCACTTCACTGCATGTTGTACTCCTATAACTATGAATGTGGCAAATAAAGAATCTTGAATCTGTATCATTACCAATCACTTTAAAATACATGCATGGCTGCTCAGCATGTTTGCATGTTTTTGAAGGCACAGTAATTATAGGCAATGACATCAGTGACTCCAGCTGACAGCCTTCAGTGTCAGTCTGGACGAGAACATTAGTGGGCTTAAATTAAATGATGCCTTAAAGGCAGAGGTGTCACATTCATTGTCACTAATGGTCACACAGAGGACCTGAGCAACAGTGACATATTTATACAGTTCACTGATATTTTTATGTTATAAATAAATCCAGGCAAAGTAATGAATTTTTAATGTTGTTCTGCAGATTTGTCTGCAAGTCTTATGCAGCCTGTGGAGAAGGTTTCATATAACGCAAAAACATTCATGAGGCGGATTAACTGTGCAGTACAGAAACTGGATGTACACTAAAGTACAGCCAGCCTTTCCTGCTCCAAACGATGCGACTAGTTTAGGAAAAGACTCACAGCGCTGCAGCTGCACGCATCCGTCTGTCACGCCTTATCTTTGTTTGTTTGGGGTTCAAACTTCAAACCAGCCATGTGAATTATATTCTTTGAAAATACAGCAAACAGATACACAGCACTCTCTGTGCAAACAGTCCATCTCCCACGTCAGTGGAAACTTTGCTTTCGCTGCAGTCAAAGCTCCACTCAAACCCGACCTGCACTTCCCTGGAAATGTAGCTACATGCTGTGCAAACAATGGCCAATTTCTCCTGTGCATCTCCAGCTACGTTTCACTGCAGTTTGTTTTATTTATCAGTGAGAGAATATCAATTAACACCTTAGTATAAGGAATAGTAATCATAGTCGCAACATAGGGACTCGACATAGGGACATAGGGATGTCAACAAACTCCTGGAGGGAGATTGCAGAAACTACCGGAATGACTGTGAGGGAACGCACAAAGAAGTGTAAAAAACTTCCCAGGACTTGGGAAGTAAGAAAGTCCCAGCCTTTCATTTGTTTGTTTCAGGGCTGGCACTGAAACCACACACAAGCACAAATGTGTGGAGGGTCACGCCGTGGGCTCTGCAAAGATTCAGCTGTTAGTCAGCTTGTTAGATTGCACAAGCTGTGGAAGCACGCCTGTCTATTTAGTCTCGCATGGGTGCAAGGTTCACGACACACAGCTACGACCTAAATTATGAAGCAGCTAAAGTAACGGGTGGGCCAGATTAAAATCTGTGAAGAGCAGGATTTGGTCCAGCTCGTAAGGTCACAAAAGAGCACACGTGTAAATCTATAGCACGATTTTAATTAAAAGTACAAAACAAAAGCTCTGTGTGTTTCTTGACAGAGGAATTCCTGACAGCCCTTCAAACAGGTTTCAACACAGCCAAAAGAAAACTGCTGCAAGCTCAGTTTATTTAGTGAAACTTTAAAAAATGTCTGCACGTCAAATGGTCTGAATCAACCGACTTCTGCCAGAAATTTAGAGAAAACTTTAAAGAACATCACACCATGTGCTCCCACAGATTTCCCCAAAAATGATTGGGAACCCAACTCGGTGTCTTTAGTCGGGCACGACACTGCTGCCCTAAATCCAGGTCAAAATATTCGGAGACTCCTCTCGGCCTGTGAGTGTGCTGTAGATGTTTGGATCACTGCCCTGACGTGATGAAGAGCATAGTGAACTGGTAACTCCTGCCTATAACCAGTTTATCAGCACAGATGTGGTGTGCAGCATAAGGTTAAATACTGCATATTTTATCAGTGCTGGTGGCAGAGAATGACAGGGGTGAATTTTAATACAGGTATAAAAGGCACAAAGAGGCCGCAGAGGAAAGCAGTCCGGTTTGTCAGGTTTGTTGGCTTAATGCAGCACAACAGACAAGGCATGAAAACCTTCACAGTTCACTAACCGCAGGATGATGGCTCCATCACATCACTAATTGATTACCTGTCAAATTCAAAGGCTAAATTAAGCAGGCAAACTTAGCCAAATTATGCAAATGCTGCTGCTGCTTTTCCGAGGGCCTCTTTGCTCTGTATGGCTGCATGTCAGAGAAGTCAGAGAATGACGTTTGGGGATACAAGACCGTCAGTGGTGTCAGATCAGAGTTGGCCCTCTTTAATCCTAAACGCCGGCCAAAATCTAACCCGTCACAGCTGCAGCCAGCTCGGTTTCGTTACCCGGCTAAAACACTTCTTTCTACTGACCCCGTTTAATTATGTTACAGCACAGAAAGTGTTGAAGCATCGAACCAACTGGTGCAGCTGTATAGCGCTGTGGTTCACCTAATGTCAAGCTGCAAGCGCTGGCCTGCGATCTCGGCCAGCTAATGTTAGCTAACCGAACCAAGCGGGTCAAGCTAGCCGTGTATCCCTGCGCTGCCACGCAGCGAAACCCCACGGGTGACCGTGTCTCCGCCGATACACCTCGGCAGCTGACACCTGCGGCTCAACGCGCTCGCTGACACCAACCCACGTCACATGAATTACCTGTACTGCGGACCGGCACCATGTGTGAAGCCGAAATAGTTGCTTGCAGCCATCTTGGCATCTCCGGTACAGTACAGTGTGCTGACAAACAGCAGCGGAGCGGTGACACCGAAACTCAAGATAGTTCCCCCCCTCGACTGCTGCTAACGGTCACATACCGGAACTGGATCGGAAAGACACGAAACGGTTACAAACAGGGAGCTTTCAGCGAGGAACTCCGTGTGCGCCATGTAAAGTCTGCGGTCAGTGTATAATTTCTATATATATATGATATCCTTGTTAATATATATAGATTTTCATAACTTCTCCACTCAATCGCTACACGCATGCGCACTAACCCCCCCCCCGCTGAGATTAAAAATAATCCTTCTTCTTCTCATTATTATTATTATTATTATTATTATTATTATTATTATTATTAATATTATTATTATTAATATTATTATTATAGCGCTAAATGACACCGTATATCTGTGTCTTAAACACTATTCAGGTATGGCTCAAAACTGTATGCCAGTGTAATGATAAACCCAACCTGAAACTGCTGAGATAATAGTGTCATAACAGAGAATGCGTGAGCTGTGGCATGAGAACACGCGAACAAACTTTAGCAATAGTGCTAGAAATATAATATATTTAACCTTTACATGCTAATTGACAATCTAGTGACATCCATGTTTATATTTATGTTAACATATTTATGTTCTCCTTTGCCCCACACAAACTTAATGCCCTACATATAGTTTTTTGGATCTGGTCTTATTTTAAATTTCAACAAACAGATCATATTTTAAAAAAAAAAACTGTAATTAAAAAAAGTCAATTTAACTAATTAACTCCAGTTTTATGCTTGAGTAAAGGCACTGCTTTATTTTGTTTCCTTCTCTTTTCTGCTTTTTATCTGTTTTACATTTTGTACTGATTTGTATAATTATTATTTGTTATACCAATTTTATGAACGATTAATTGATATATACGTAAATAAATAAATTTTAGCGGAGACGGAAGTACGTTGGAGTGAATGCTCTCGCTTTGCTTAATACTCTGGGTGTGAATGGCTGGGTGATTGGACGGGTGTTGCGTGCCTCTGATAATTGAGGTACAGTCTAATGTTAACCCAGCTGCCTGGGGTGAGTCATACCAAGCACCATCACATTCAGCTCTTCTGGACGTTTCGTATAAAGGTGCACTATGTCCACGATGCTAAAAAGCATCGTTTGACCTTGGGGGTTTTAAGGGCATCAGCTCAGGATCCGTACAAAAAAAAAGAAGAAGAGGAAAACCCTTATTATGCATAAGAGGGACACAAATATTTGTTAAAAGCTTTTTCTCGCGGGTAATTACTCACGAGGCCTTATGGACACAGTAAAAGAGACCTTTTAGGAATGTGCAGAACAAGTATTTTCAGCCATAGTATGCGGTGAAGCTGTAGGGGTGATATGATTGGCTGGCAGAAAGTGAAGTAAGGGTCTGAATAATTCATGTTGTGGGGTAGCAGGTATGAAAGAGGCACGAGCAAGGAGGCATAGAGGCTGAAGAGAGGCTATGGATGGAGAGAGATGCTGTTGCCAGGGAACAGCAGCCACACAGACCACCACTGAAAACAACAGCAGGATTATCTGATGGGACTAAAAGGAGACAGAGGCTGGTGCTTATTTTTCCCAAGTTGCTGCAGGGATAAATAAGCTACTTCCATGGAGGAATGTAAATACAGTGGAAGCCCAAAGAAGCTTTTCAATTGATACTGTGGTGAGAAGAAAAAGCTTCTCCAAAGGTATTTGGGTCCACATTAAGGGAGAAGAGAGGGGGGGTCGATATATATATAGAGAGAGATCACGATGCCAGAGCAGATGCGTTCCCATTAAAGGAATTTTGTGTCTCGGTGGTGTGGAAGTAAGAGCTGAGAGGCAAGGCTGTCGGCTCGCTCTTCACGGCCAGTCTTTCCCCAACAAAGGTGACCAGAGGCGGAGGAGAGGAGAGGGGGGTCCAGAACAGAGGTGCCCCCTGTCCTCAGACACCTGCTGCTGGCGAGCCGCGGACATCGAGGACAGTGTATGACTGTGTCCGTGCACAAGTGCGCGTGCGTGACTCCGAACGAATGAATGAGAGACGGAGAGAGAAAGAGGAGGAGGAATTTTAGACTGACCCACGCTTTTCTGTTGATGTGGAGCAGCGGGGCGGTCTCCCCTCAAATCTGTGCATCTGTGACTGAGGACGAAGAAGACGCTCCACATCGGGAGATCTCACGCCACTCGTGTGAGTTTAACATCCTTGCATTTATTTTATGCATGGTCACACAGCTTGCACACGCATGCACGATTGTCCGTTAATGTGAGAAATCTTTTCTGTTGGATGCTCCACTTGGGGTGACCTAGAAAGGCTGTGGAGCCATTTTACTGCACCTTTTGGTGCTGATTGGCTTTGCAGAAATCATTGATGTTCACATCTGAAGACCGGGAAGAAACAACCCGCTCACAGTTACATGGTGTTCATTTATTTTTTTATAAACATGATTTTGCGATTTACGCCTGCTGGCTTGCCTCCACACAAGAATTTTTCTTGTGCACAATAAAACAAAACATGTGGAAACAAATTATTTCCTTTGTTAGTTATTTGACTGCCTTCCATTTCATACACAGCCACAAGTGCTGCTGCCAAAACCACACCACTCCTAGCGATTATATCACAGTGTTGCTATTATTTCGGTATGCACTGCTGAATGTCATCATCGCACTGGGGCTGGTTGTACTACAGCACATTTTTTGTGGCTAAACACACCTTTTCATTCTGTTTCTAAGTGCAACCTGCAACCCAAGAGTGGAAATGCTTCCATCGCTCTGTGGAACAGGCTCGGAAAAGCATGAGGAAAGCAGAACTTTAGGACTCGTGCAGTTGACTGAGAATTCTCTCTAAGCTCTTAAGCACAAATTAATTCATGCTTTTCAGGTTTTCTATTTAATTGTGTTAGTGCCTGGAAGCCTGAGAAAGCAGAGGTGTGGTAGACTTAAAGAGGAGTCAGTTTTGTCCTCCACGTCTGCCTGTGGAATTCCAGGCGAGGCCAAAGTCAATTTTCATATTTGACTTTTGAAGGATTTCTGAGCGCAGAAAAGCGAGCTCAGTCCGATCCAGTCACATGCCTCTCACATGTGCTCCGGTGGGCCGGGGGGATGAAAACCACGTGAGCTGCAGTGACTTAAGCCCCCTAATTATAATGAAAGAGAGTCAATTATTTGACTTTTCCCTCAGCATACAGGCCAAAACACATGTTCCTGCAGTGCAGCAATGTGTGACACCTTTGGTCTGTGACTGCGAGTGCTATTGCTCATAAAAACTCTCTGCACACCTCCAGGCCCCTGCTCTCCTCTCTGAGGGATGGGCACCACAGAGGCGACTCTACGAATGGAGAACATGGAAGTAAAAGACGAGTGGCAGGATGAAGACTTCCCCAGGTATGATCCTTCCACTTTTTAAAGGCATCTAATGCGCGGTCGTGTTGATGTGATGATGAAAACTGATTGTAAGATTTAAAAAAAAAATCCACTTATTCTCCTTTAAATCCTCAGCTGATTGGTAATTTTCCACAACAGGATAAGATCTGCGATATTGTTTATAATTATGGGAATTTGATGAGCAGTGGCTGAAATTCAGAGCTTAATGAGCAGAAAATAAGTGGCAGGAAAGTGTGATGAAAATCAGCACTGGGCTCCATCCTCCTCCTCCTGCTCCTCCTCCTCCCTTTTCCCTCCTCCTTTGTTGGATGGGGGAGGCAGGAAGCCAGGGAGCAGGTGCAGCGCCGTCTTGGAAGCGGTGTCGGGCAACGTCATGTGACGCAACGGCAGTCGCTGATCAACAACACCAGTTCAGGAATATGGTGGCAGGTTGTGGTTAAAGACGGAGGGTCAGTCAGTTATTAAAGAAGAATCAGAGTGATGCTCTGCTCCGGTTTGGCTCACACCAGCTGAGAGGACAGGGAATGAGCCCAAACACAGAGGTGCGTGAGGTAAAAGATAAAGATCATTAAGGATCGGCTTGGACAAAAGCAGCCCCGCGCTGTCTCCGTAAGGTAAGCATCAGTGGTTCGTGCTGATCTTAAGAGATAATGCAGACATAAACAGATGAGCTTGAGCTCGCCCCCCTCGTCAGTTTGCATTTCTATAAAAAAAAGAGCTTCATTTGTGACAAAGGAAGCGGCGGATCAGTAGTCACTGCAGGGGTCCTCGGGGAATAGAGGCACAGTGTCTGTTTCTGTGGGCTGAAGCGTGATTGTTGGCTCAGGAGGAGCCCGCACTGTCACACAACTGTCCTCCCGCGAATGGGAGGATGAGACGGTTGGCTTTCACGGGAATGCAGCTAAGACCCTCTCTGCTGAACAACACTGCGCTAGAGCTCTCTCCTCCTCCCAGTTTTTTTTAACCAGTGAGAGCACAGCTGTGCACTCAGCTCCTCGGTTGTTCCTCGGGTTTTATTGCCGACAGACAACACATGCAGGTGCAAGCACGTTTGCCCCCATTTGCTTGCTTTTTCTGCTTTAGACACATTTGACAAGGAGGGAAGAAGAGGAAGATGTTGATGTCCTCCCATCCTCTCCTCCTTCTGTGCAGAGTGTAAACAGAAGCAGAAATGCAGACACTTTGTTTGCATGCAAACTGTTTCTCCACCCCTCCATCATCCGCTCTGACTCACACCCTGCCCGGCGGCGCTGTAATCTTCGTCTCTCCCCGGAGACAAGTTAATAACCATCTCTATCCTCTTCTGCGTGCTCTTCTTTTCAGCGCTTAGCCAGATTAGTGACAACACCCATGCCTAGCTTGGACCTTTTAACACGGTCCTAATCACATGGATCCATTTTATTATGAGGTCATAGTTACAAAGTAGGACGTGCTTTAGGATGCATTTATCTCAGCTGAGGAAAAATGATGGGTTTTTGTACTGTGTGGCTGAACCTTTACTCTCTGCAGCATCACAACTTCCTCTCTGTCGTGTAATAGATTGGGCAAACACAGCGCTAAATGCTTACATAGTGTATGCATGTTTCCAACCAGACCACTACCAGAGTACGGAGACATGGACCCCTCCTGTGGTCTCACAGATGACAGAACCTGTAAGTAACACCAACAAGTCGGGGGTCACCGAATGATCATTATTGATGACAAACCCCTCTCTGTGTGGCATGAATCACAGTCTCTTTCCTCCTGCCCTCTGGTCTCACTGTAGCTCATCCTACCTCCCTGAACGTGAGCTCACCGGGAGGAGGAGGCAGCGGCGGTGTGTCCTCATCCCACCGGAAGAGGCGTACGTTGATCGCCCCGGAGATGAACCTCTCCCTGGATCAAAGTGAAGGTTCTTTGTTGTCAGATGACTTCCTGGACACGCCGGATGACCTGGACATAAACGTTGACGACATCGACACTCCAGATGAAACCGACTCACTCGAGTTCATCACGAATGGCAATGACCTGGAGTGGGAAGGTTAGCAGATCCATAACAGGTCGCTGTTTTTACTCCTGATATTAATCCATCAGCTTCAAAAAGCTAGTTGAGGCTGAACTTTAGGCAAAAAGGGTTTTTTGTTGCTATTTAAGCTGAAAATTCACTACATGTATCCATGCACGTACCATAAAATGTCAGCTGAGAAGTTACACTGTGCTCTTTAACCTAAACATACTAATACATGTCGATTTTTACAGAGACTTTGCAAAAGGAAAGGATCTGTAACACAACCTAACTTAAAAGGAGCTTACACATATTATGATCAATGTTTCCCTTCAACTAAAATGATTCAGCATAACTCTGTTCGTGCCCAGATGACACACCGGTGGCATCAGCGAAAGCAAATCCCGTTGACAGATCCGGAGAGGTGGGCGAGGATGGGAATGCCAACAACGGACGCCTCTGGAGAACAGTGATCATCGGAGAACAGGAACATCGCATCGACATGCAGGTCATCAGACCTTACCTTCGGGTCATCACACACGGAGGTGAGAGTCAGAAAAAGCTCTCAATTAGCAATAAAATAATCCTTAAAATCCTTATATATATATATATATATATATGGTGTGATCGTGTGCACAGGCAGTGATTTGTGGATGCAGTGATTTCCATGACAGACTGACGCCTGAACACCTGACGCTCATCATGAACTTTCCCCTTGTTGCCTGCATGCAGAGATTTTTCCGGGTTTTCTGAATTGTTGGTGATATAATGTACTGTAGAGGATGAGATATTCAAAGTCTTCACAATTTTATGTTTTGTAGATGCATTTTTTGCCAACTGGTGAAACTGAGATGCTCTCTTTATAACCAGTCATGTGTAAAAATGACTTAATGTTTTTCAGGAAGTAGTAAAATGTCTCAGTTTAAACATTCAATATGTTTCCTCTGGTTTGTTGTGAAGATTTCCATGACAGTAAGCTTAAACTCTCTCTCCTCAGGTTATTACGGCGAAGGCCTGAATGCCATCATTGTGTTTTCTGCTTGTTACCTGCCTGACAGCAGCTGTGCAGATTACCACTACATCATGGAAAACCTCTTCCTGTGCGTCTCTCAGTCAGAGCCAACTTACTCGCACTTTTAAGCCCTGTATATCAACACATTTTGAACTGCACCCAACAGGAAATCATAACTCTCGTGCCCTCCAGGTATGTGGTGAGCAGTCTGGAGATGCTCGTTGCCGAGGATTACCTGATTATTTACATGAACGGAGCAACTCCTCGGAACAAGATGCCTGGCATCAGCTGGCTGAAGAAATGCTACCAAATGATCGACAGAAGGTCAGAAAAAAGTTCAATACATTGATTGATATCTAGCGTATTGGGAATTTCTTTATATAGATCTTTTTGGAGATGTTCACATCAGCGCTGAACTCTGGCTCATCTCCATCATCCCACATACACGATGCTGATATTGACAGATATGAAAGGGAGAGAAATAAAAGTTTTCTCAAGCTGTCAGTCAGTGAAAGCTTGTCGATGGCTCTGAGTCCTGTTTGGCAGTTGGGAATAAAATTGGAATAAACTTTTAAGCACACACACACAAAGCATAAACGTGTAAACAACGATGCAGCTCTGTTAACAAACGTTTTCTTTCTGTTTTCTGGCAGATTGAGGAAGAACCTGAAGTCTCTAGTCATTGCTCATCCCACGTGGTTTATACGCACCGTCCTGGCTATATCGAGGCCTTTTATCAGGTGATACGAACAAGCTGAATATCAAACACTGAACGTTTTCCATTAAGACCTGAAGGTTAATCGATACAGGCCACACGATGTCTTTTGACCTCCCGAAAACTGAGTCCTTGTTTGGGATGTGCTTTTTATTTTTCTGATAGCTATTTGAGATCAGACAGTCCTGTCAAGTCTATAAACTAAGCTCACTTGTTACTTTGTTACATAGTTGCTACTAACTATGTCCCCATATGGGTAAATGGGTTAATTTTACAGAATAATACAATAAAATCAAGATTTCATAGTAAGTATAAAGCCGGGTCGAGCAGAATGAAGTGTAATGTGCAGGAAAGGAAACATCCCTGAGACGGGAGGTCTGACACAGAGCGACTATAATAACTTTAATCTGTTTCTCATTTAAAATATCAGTTTGACAGCGTGGATCTGTTTGCTGCAGATTTTTTTTATTGTTTGTCTTTTTGTGTATCTGTGTAACTGTTGTGTTGCTTTTCTCTCGTCCTCTGCAGTGTGAAGTTCATGAATAAGATCCAGTACGTCCACAGCCTGGACGAACTGGCAGAAATGGTGCCCATGGAGCACGTCCATGTCCCCGAGTGTGTGGTGCAGTAAGTATCTGTGACCACTAGATGGAGAACGTGAGCTTTACCTGCAGGCAGCGGTTAATCCTTTTTTCTTTTTTTAAAGTTATTACTCATTTAAACCAAACCGAGAACAAGACTGCTGTTTGAATAAATGTAAAATAAGATTATTGCCTCAGTTCCTAAAAAGAGGACTTAGATGGCAGGATTTACTGTGTGATGTGAGGATATAACAGCGCCTCTCGTTTTCAGATTTGACGAGGAGAGGATTAAAGCGCGGAGGGAAAGGTAAGATATAGCTTTGTGCAGTTTTAAATAGCATTACGCGCCAACCTCGTGCATATTATTATATACATATAACTGTGTGCAGAATTAAGAGTGGCTTAAGCACTTAGAACTGGATAACTGGCTACACAAGACTCCCATCGAATAACTCTGTGTATGTAACTCTGTGTGTGTGTGTGTGTGTGTGTGTGTGTGTGTGTGTGTGTGTGTGTGTGTGTGTGTGTGTGTGTGTGTGTGTAGGATTGAGCAGGAGCAGAGACAGCAGCAACAGCATCCAGCCCCACAGGAGCCCGTGAAAAAGTCTGAGAGGTAGAGGTCCTCTAACCACATTTTAATGTGTGACAACAAACTCAGAAGCTCATCAGGTTTCAGTTCGTTATCACAGCTCTTACCTTTACTTTTATTTTTCAGGCCAAAATCAATGATTGTAGGTCAAGGGTTCTGAGACGGACGGAGATTTGAAGGTAACGTTGCACTTCTTATTTCAGCCACAAGATGGTGCTCTGCTCTCACACGAGTTTACCGCATCGCCCATTAAGCCTCTGCAGATTCCAGTTTATGTTTATAGAAGTACATCACTCTGGGTCTATGATGTGTCCTAATTTTGGATTAATGTTCTATGATGACAGGTTCGTCTGTTGCGCATTGTCAGGGTCACAAACTGAAAAAATATTCATCTGATTGCTTTGGTGCTAAAAGTAGAACTGAGCAGGACGCAGTTTCACAGTTTGCACGGTGTGAGTTGGTACTCGTGTGATGTGTGCTTCTTCGCTGCCTTTAAATACTGAGGTTCTGTCATTAGCTGAGCTTTTCTCCTTCAGTGTTTCTTTCTCTACGTTTGCTTGATTCTGTCTGGTGCAGCTTCTTTTCTGCTTTCTAAAGTTACAGCTGTGAAACAACATTTCTCAGTTTCTCGTGTACTTCAGAGATTCTTATAATCTCATATTTTGTGTTAACTTAACCCAGCTGATGGTCACGTACATATTCTGTATCTTCCACGTCATTTAAGTGATGTGATGAGGGAACAAACTTTGTTTTGTTTTTAGATTTTAGGGGTATTTTACATATTTCACCAAACTTTAGCCTTACACAGTTTGTGCTGTATCTCTGGATGAAGTTTCCTGGATTTCAAACAATTTTGGTGTTTTTATCATCAACATATGGCTGACTGAAGAGGTTAATACTGTTCATTTTAAGTCATATTGTCAGTCCTTGAGGTAGATAACTCCTGTACAGAACCTGATTCAGGCTAAAATTTCAGTGGATAGTTTGTTTGTTTGTTTTAATCGATAATATCCTTACAGGCTGCTAATGTGGCAGCACATGCTGGTAGAAACCAGGTGGCTGAAGGTTGTATAGAGTAGTGACCTGTGACTGTCCGGCTGATATGCTCAGAGAGACAGTGTGCTACACATCACTGAGATGCAGAAGCAAGATTCTTGTCAATTTTTTAAACTACTTGAAAAGAGATCATTTTTAGTTTAGGACTGACCCATCATACACTCATACAGGCCACTTCATTAGGTACACTCCTTCAACTGCCTTAATGCAAATTTCGAATCACCCAATCACGTGGCAGTAGTTCGATACACTGTGGCATGTTGACGTAGTCGAGTCAAACTGCTGAAGTTTAAACCCATACAAGTGGGTAAAATGCCTTGTTGATGCCAGAGGTCAAAGGTCATGACCAGACATCTGTGAGCTGATAGGAAGGCAGCAGTAAGTGAAATAACCACTGCAGGTGGTACACGGCAGCAGAAGACCACACTGCTGCTCCTGTGAGCTGTGAACAGGAAACCGAGGCTACAGTTCTCACAGGCTCGCCAAAACAGGACCACAGCAGATTGTCTGTGTACGTTCTCTGTTATCTGGGTCAGTTTTTAGCGCTTGAGGAAAAGGAAACTGGACCTCGTGTTCAAGAACCTTTTTCAGTTCAAAAACAACTGGTGGAAAATCCTTGGTATTCAATTTCTAGTGGGATTCTCCCTTTGGACATAATCCTGGGAATTATTGGCCCACTGTTAATGAAGCAAGTCGTTAAGGGTCATTTCCACCAAGTTGTTAATTGTTCGTGAGACTTTGCTCCATCGCGCTCTTCATTATGTGAGCGTGGGTTGAATCAGCTTGCAAAGAGACTCCAAAACTGCATTGTGGGTGGCTGATTCCTGATGCTGTAAGGCACCGTCTCTGTTAAACGATTTATACTTAATGAAAACGTCTCCTCTGTCTTCTTGCTCCAAAATGGGAACATTAGCATAACCAAACATGTCCTCCCTCTTTTACAAGTGCAGATATCCAGCTGAATCTCGTCCTACTGAGGTGGTTCTCCTGTGCTGTGCTATGCATATGTGGAGTAGGTCTGTGTAACGGTCCAAGCATTCCTCACTGCATAGACTACACTGTGTATGCTGTGCAATGTGCAGTGCTTGTGTTTTGTCAGCTGGGCGAGTGTTTTGTCAAGATTTCTGCAGTGACATTCAGCTGGTAGGGTCAGAATGTGGCAAAAACATCACGAGAGCATGGATCCATCCTGCCTCATATAGTGGTGGTGCAGACTGGTGTGACGGAGGTGTGGGGGATGGCCTGTCAGCATGAATGGACCCATCTGCATATGGGTGCTTACAACAGGATAATGTGCCGTGCAACAAAACTCAGAACTGGTTTCTTGAACATGACAAGTTTACTGGATTGAGATCTGGTGACTGCGGAGACCATTCGAGTGCAGTGAAGCACCTTTGGGATGTGGTTGAACGGGAGATGGACATCATGGATGTTCAACCAACAAATCTACTGCAGCTGTCTGATGTTATTGTGTCAGTATAGACCCACATCTCTAGGAAATGCTTCCAGCACACAGTGTGGGCCTTTTCTGTCCCTCATAGACAGCTGCACTGTCTAAAATAACACTTACATGTTTTTATTGTGCAGACATGATAGTTCTTTGTGCTCTTTTCTGTTTGTGCAGGGCTCACCTGAAGTGGAGCGTGAACGTCCAGCAAGTCTACACAAGCTTCGTGTCATCATCCCGCTGACGATTTGTGCCGTCGTTGTCCGATCAAAACAAAATAAATGCTCCGTCCCATAATGCCACTGGGAACTCACCCCTCCTCTATCCCAGAGGGGTTTTATGGCCACACTAAATGAAGTCACTACTCTGTTACCAGATTTGATTTAAAACCTGAAACCGCTGCTCGATTCGTTCATTCTTTAATCTGCTGTTAGGGAGCTCGTGCTGGATTATAATGAGCCTCCTTGTTCCTCGTTGTTCGAGTCAGAGATTACAGGCTTGAAGTTAATGAGGGCAAAATTACCTGAAAATCGTGACAGTTTAAAAACACGAGCGAATCTTGAAGCTCCTTTAACTGAGATCTGGGTCAGTACGAGACCACTGGAACAAACTCACATTTATATTCGTGCCGGTTCATGTGAATGTCGTGTGCGTCAGATGTAGATAACAAGGCTTTTCCAATGTATCAGATGCTTTATTTTATTTTTTTACCTCATAGCTGCTGCATCATAAGGCCCTTTGAAGCGCTCTCATATGCTGTTCTGACATGTCAACATGTGCTAACGTTTGCTGGTGCGGGGGTCCTTTAGCTCTGTGAAGTTTCCTTTGATCGCCTCCACTTACTCTGTACCCGGTGTCATTATGTGCCTCAGTCATCCTGAGTGTTTAAAAGAAAAGGCAGGAACGTGAGCGCTTACTGCAGTTTGTGACCCATACTGGAAAATCTACAGGAGTCCCTGTAGATTGTAAAATTATTTAGGTAAGTTCAAGCAATATATTGTTTATTTTGTGTAACATAGTCACATAAACAGCCTTCATACAACACTGAATGCTTTGTATTTAGATAATATTTTGGCTAAACTCCATATTACAGGTTCCCATAAATGTAATACTAACACGTGTGCAAAGTATCTACAACAAATTTGTATAGATTCTGTAAAGATGTGATGAAAGTCAAGACATAAAGCAGACAAAGTTTGACAAACTGCACATGAAGCAGTGACGCTTTCTCTCGGACGGGGTCGCAATTAATACGTCTGAATTTAATTCCAGATTAATGAGTGAATGTTTTGGTCATTCAGAAACGTCCTCAGTGATCAGCAGTGTCAGCACCTCTGGACGGTTTAACTCTGGTTCTTTGTGTCTTCCATTTTTTCAAATTATTGTAGCAGGAAGACTGAAGCATAGGATTACTTCTGTGTGGACTTCATGACTTGATTGTCTGTAAACTGCTCGTATGTTTTGCACTATTGAATTTGGGTAGTTTAAGACTATGATAGATTTATGCATTTTGAGCTGTTGTTAGTATGACTTGTGTTTTTGTAGGTTGTGGGCATTCTTATGCATTTTTGGTACAGAAAATCTGACCAATGAAAAGTCTGTTTATAAAGTGCCGACTTACTTTACTCCTCTTCTGTTGCCTTTCCAGAGTGGCAAAGTTGGACAAAAAGCTTGAACTTTTCTTTTTGTGATCCTTTAAGAGTGTTTTTCACTGGCAAACCCGACCTGGCAGCGTCCCGTCTTCATTCTGCGAGGGGGACGCCTCTCGCTGGTCGTTTGTTGGTTGAACCGAGTGCCTATTGTCGAACCAAATGCTTCGGGGAAATCTGGAAAAATGAAGGAATGTACAGTGTAGCATTTTACTTTTTGGTTATGTTTTTTATTTGAGTCACACTCGTGCATAAACTGTTCATTCTGACTATAAAAGCACAAAATCTGTAATGTTTCAACCCATAAACCGACCATACCTGCTGTAAAATGTTTGCTCACATATGAACTGTTTCACTCTCCTGAAGCTTCCATGATTGTTTCTGCCTGTAAATATGACTGAATAAATTGTTCCTCATCATATGTTCTCTGTTTGTTGCTTAGAGCACTGCCTGGGCTTAAATTGGTTACATGCGTGTTAAACTACTGTATGTTCTCTGAGCTGTTTGCAAATATTGGCTTGACTTCCTGGGTGTCACATGGAGGTGGGTGTGTGGCGGCTTTTTCACAGAACAACGTGTAACAGGGCGACTCTTTCTCAGCACCAAAACAGTAGTGTGTGACGTGATGCAACGACAGTTCTGAAAAGTGTTTACATGTACAATATACACTCACTGGCCACATCATTAGGTATACCTGCTCCCTGAGACGTATGTGGCACCGATTCAGTGCACATGCGAAGCAGATGTGTTACAGCAGCAGAAGAGCACATGCTGTGCCAGTCCTGTCAGCAAAGAACAGGAAACTGAGGTTACGGTCACCACGGCTTACTAAAATTAGACAACAGAAGATGTTTGTGTAGGTTTCTCAGTCACCCAGGTCATTTTTTGAGCAAGTGGACTTTTTTCTGTCTCTCTCTCTCTCTATCTAAGAGACCTTTTCAGTTCCAAAACAACTAAACGAGAGTTCCAGATATCATTTAACCCGTGGTGGGATTCTCCCCTTCGAGGTGCTTCTGAGAATCTTTGACCCTCTGTTAATCATTTAATAAGCTAACGGTCGTTACCGCCAAGGTATGAACAGTTTGTGAGACACTGTCCCACCCTGCAATCATAGGATCTATTCAGATGTGCCGAGGTGTCATTATAGGTGGCTGATAGCTGGCGGTGTAGGCCATTACTGTTTACTCCTCTCACGCTGCCTCGTTTTAATGATTCATGCTGATGGTGATGGTGGTGTGGGGTACGTTTTCTTGCCATGCTTTTGGCCAAAAGTTTGAGCAGTGTTTAAATAAAACAGCTTACCTGTCTGTTGTTCCTGCCCATGTCCAGACCTGTATGACCACACTGTGTCACGAAGCTCAAACTGGTTCCTTGAACATTACAGTGAGTTCACTGTGATCATGTGGCCTTTAAAGTCACCGCATCTCAGTCCAGTAGAGCACATTTGGGATGTGTGCGCTACTATCAATAAATATGGACCCAATTCTCTGAAGAATGTTTCCTGCACCCTGTTGAATCAACGCCATGATGAATCAAAGCAGACCATACTAATATATCTTAATCTATGGCCTCGCCTCTGCAGTGATACAGACATTTAAAAAAATGTTTATTTTAAGATGCTATATGCTGAAAAGCCAACTTACCTCGTATCTACTGAAATATTGACTTTAATGAAACCATTGCCAATGTTATTCTCTATTATATGTCAAAATATATGGAAAAAATACATTGATTTGGCCTTAAATTCAGAGCTAATAAAACAGTAGTTTCACAGTAGCATATTAAGAGTACAAACTGTCCTAACTATCTGGGGTCTACAGTGTCCCATAACTATGTTCATGGATGGCTCTTTGGTGTGAGCTTTTGTTTCCTTTGTCGTAATTGTTAGTTTAAAGTTACACAAACCAGCTCACACTGGATTTACAGTGTGACCCTCCCACTTGCAGGGATGGCCTGTAGCTGCTGAAGACTGCCGACACTCATGTGAAGGTTTCCTCGTTTTCTTGGATCTAGGAAGACTTGTAATTGCAACACAGCTAGAAGACTCGCCCATCACAACTTTATGATGTTCACTGTCGACTGTTGAGCCTCAACGTGCACGTGGACACAAACACATGTACTGGGAAACAGATCAAGGCCATAAACAACACTTTATGAAGGCTGTAATTCACATCTACTAGAACCTCCACGTGTTCTCTCGAAATATTCACTCATTTGTCTCTTACCTCATTTATGACACAACCTAGCAAGAACATTTGTGGCAGAAAGTAAACATCAGGCATGCTCCACTTCACAGCTGAACCTGTGACTTCTCCTTCGTCCTAATTAAGTTTTTTTTTTATGTAGGTGCTGCTCGCTGGCTCACAATGGAGCTCACACTGCCCTCACACTCCTGACTAAAGCGCTATACAAATACATGCCATTTTTACCATCTGACACACTTCACACATGGATGCTCACTGGGATGATATATTATCAACAACCTCAGTTTGAAAATTAGTCAGAGACAAGAAGCATATTGCTCTTCATGCCAAAGAGTCAGATGATCTACTGTGGCTGCTTTTAATTTAATGAACATTAGTAGCAGACAAACTATGGTCCCAGCATTTTGTTCTTAAAATTTCACTGAAGTATGATAAAATAAAGGAAAAACTGAAGTACTTATAGGGAGCAGAACCCCAGACTCCAGTTTTCAGAGGGTGGGCATTTTGCCATGGCTTAGTATTAATATAATTATGGTTTTATTATCTTAAATCAGGTAAATGAAACAGTACCCGCTTTCTACAACTATCGTCAAAACATCAAATTAAAGAAAATCATATGTTGTACTGACTGTGTCACGTTTTTCCTTTAATTTCTCACCCCTAACTAGGTTCAATGACGTTCTAATTATTATTATTCCTCCTAATTTGACTTTCACCCGAGCACATGACCATACTGTAAAATATTAGTGTTATTTTTATGCATCCATTTGACACCATCAATGGTAGTTTTCCACAGGCCGCTGACTCTGCAGGTGGATTAGATGCTGAATGGAATAGTACGAGCGCCTCACCATCTGGCTCTCATATGGACATCAGTGAGCGAGGAAACAATAAGGAAATGGGTGAAAGTTACCAGCTTCTGATTGGCCGGCGAGGGGTTTGGGCGCTCTGCCCGCAGCTGATTGGCTGCTAAAAAGGTACACACAGAACGGCTCTGACGGCACGTAGCACAAGGTGGAAAAAGAGCACGAGCACGCCTGACCACGAGAACACACCACGCCCACGTTCGCTGTGACGTTGTAGAGCTCGGGCTGGATATAAATTAGCGCGCCTCCCGCTCGCAGTACTACAGAGAAACACGCTGAGAGCGAAAGGGAAGGTTTCCGGAAGTATTTTTGGATCGTTTAAAATTCTTATTTTTAAAATTTGGGATTTTCGTTCTTGGTGAAAGTTGTTCGTGACTGTTTGTTTGAACGAGACCTGTCCGGAAGAAGCGAGACGATGAAGTGCATTATAGGAATTGGCGGGTAAGTTTGGCTAGCTTATCGCATTTATTTAACTACCAAGTCAACGGTTTTAACGTTTCCTTTTATCCGTTAACGTGAAAAATGGCTGATGTAAGTCGACTAAACACAGTGACAGTGGAGCAGGGTCACGCTGCGGCGATGCTCTGACTGCACTGTGTGGTGAAGTTCACGTTATTGCTGGTGCAGGTTTGTTTTTGCCAAACTGGTGCTTCAGGGTTTTTGTTTTTTGTAATGGTGATTGTTTGTCTCAGATTCATAGATGTTATCATTTTTGGCCGCGTGTTTATCAGCTGCCCGCCACAAACCTGTTCAAAGTCACATCCGGTCCGGTCGGTTTGTTGTTATAAATCGAGCGGGACTTTTGAAAATTCACCGCGAGGTCAGCTCAAAAGTGGAGGGAGATCTGAGTTTAGTGTTGCCATAACAATTATTATTATTATTATTATTATTATTATTATTATTATTATTATTATTATTATTATACTTGTGCAACATATTTAAATGTAACACATTTAAACTTAACTTGCTCCCAGAGTTTTTGTGTTTTCATTTGTTTCCTTTTAATAATGTACACAAATTTACTATGTTGAATATTAACAAAGCTCAATATAATGCATAAATACTCGCTGCCATAAAGCTAACGGAAGGTCATTAATTTTGCTGTGGTGATAGCGGGCATTTTTATCACCCTGTGCCTTTGTGTTTACAGGGTGACTAATGGTGGTAAAACCACTCTGACAAATAACTTGATCAAGACTTTGCCCAACTGCTGTGTCGTGCATCAGGATGACTTTTTCAAGGTGAGTGTAAGCTAGTGGATTGTTTTCGGTTTTTTGTTTTGTTTGGTTTCTTGTTTTGTTTTTTCCCCATGCTGCTTTCTCCTCTTTGGACACTGCGTGATATTTGCATTTCAACAAAATAGGAGGGCTTCCCTGAGGGGTACCCCACCACATCCCCCCACTTTTTGTTCTCCAGATTAGATCCAGAGTTGTCTTTCCCTTGTTGTCTCGCCTCACTGCTTCGGTCTTGTTTTCCCTTCCCCACATCCTTGAATTTATCCATTTATACTCCTCATCTACATTTTCTTAAGATAGCTGTTAACATCAACTTCTCTTGTTATTGAGTCTTTTCTTATTTCTCTCCGTATAAGCACTACTACATTAGATGATGTGTTTTGCTCCCTTTCCCCCCTCCCCCCCAGTTTAGTCACAGCTGCATACCTGTGTGAACGGCTTGCTTTGTTTTGTGCATGCCCCTTGCTGTGTACCCTCTGTACTCACTTGTTTGGCCTTAATAACTCTGGCATGTGAGTGGGATCTGCAAGTGTTCAGAGCTGTAAGGTTGCAGCAGTGTTTTATTGGTCACTGTTATTTCAGAAACCCGATCAGATAGAAGTCGGGGAGGACGGCTTTAAACAGTGGGATGGTAAGACTTCACCCGAAGACTGCCAGTGACTCATTAATCTTATATCCACATAGCTGCCCATTTTAACATAGTTTACCTCCACAATCCATAATTGCACACAACCGTAATCATGCACATCAAAAGTTTATTGTAGCCTTCAGTAGCTCGCAAACAACAACCACACATCCAATAAATTACATTGTTTGCTTGGGTTTGTTCTAATCTTTTTCTCTTCTTTCCATCATTTTTTTTTTTTTTTTTTTGCCTCCAATCTTTCTTTATAGTTATCACGGCGTTGGATATGGAGGCCATGACCAACACGATAAAAGCCTGGATTGAGAACCCGGTGAAGTTTGCCAGATCTCACGGTGTCCCTTTGTCTTCTTCCTCCGATTTGGCCAACACTGACGAGCAGATCCACATCCTGATTGTGGAGGGCTTCCTGCTCTACAACTACCCGTAGGTCTAAAGCAGACTTTCATATCTTTTAATAAATGAAGTATTGT